TATTTCTGCACTCCATCAATGATCATGGAGGGACTGGGAATGTAACTTGGTGGTAGAGCATTTGCCTATCATATGGGAAGCCCTGGGTTCAATCCCCAATACCTCAAAAAGGAAAAAAAAAAAAATCAGAAAATAGAGAAAGGCAATGTTTAATAGCTTTAAAAATACATACCAAGAAATATATCTAGCAAAAGGTATACAATACTGTATAAAGAAAATTAAAAAAACATTATTGAGAAATCATTAAATATGAGCAAAAAAGGGGTCAAATATGCCATATTCATAAACAGGAATGCTCAATGGCAAAATGATATTACTTGCTACAAATTAATCTATTTACACATTGCAATTCCTTTGAAACTCTTATCAAAAATTTTCAGTTTGACAAGCTGCTTCTAAAAGTTATATGACAGGGCTATGGGTACGGGTATAGCTAAGTGGTAGTGAAGTACTTGTCTAGCATGCTTGAGGGCCCTAGATTTGATCCCCAGCACTCTGTATCCACCTCACACACACAAAAAAAGCTATGAAAGATCAAAGGCTCACAGACATCCATTTTTATGAATGTGGAAGAACAGGTGTGGGTATACATCTCACCTAAAATGAAGATTTTTTAAAAAATTATAAAGCACAGCAATCAAGATAGATTGATATTAAATACAAAGAAACAGACCATAAAACATAGTAGAGAAGTGGAAAACAAATCACACATATATGTAGTAAATTTGATTTTTAACACTGGACCATTCAATAAACAGGTGCCAGGATAATACAGATATATGAAAAAATAAATCCTCACTTAAAACATACGCCAAAATCAAGTCTTCAACAAATAAAGAGGTAAATGTATAAAGCAAAATTTGAAAACTTTCAGAAGGAAATATATTTTATGATGTAAGTATAGAGATTTCCCAAAGGAGAAAAGAACATAAATCACATAGGAAAATATTAATAAATTCATCTACAATTAAAATAACACAAAATCTTTTGTTCAGCCAGTGACACAAGAAAAAGTAGAAAACCAAGCTCCTTGACAGAAGAAGACATTTATAATGCATATACTCAACACAGGAGTAATGTATTAAGAATAAAAAAGCAGCTGGGTGCTGGGGCACATGCCTATAATCCCAGCAGTTTGGGAGGCTGAGACAAAAGAATCACAAGTTCAAAGCCAGCCTCAGCAAAAGCAAGGTGCTAAGCAACTCAGTGAGACCCTGTCTATAAATAAAATGCAAAATAGGGCTGGGGATGTGGCTCAGTGGTTGAGTGCTTTTGAGTTCAATCCCTGATACCCCCCCGCAATAAAAAGAATAAGAAAGCAGCTTGTTCAATTCAATAAGATGAGGATAAACAACCCAACACAAAAATGAGTAAAAATATAAATAGGTCAGGCATGGTGGTGCATGCCTGTCATCCCAGCAACTTGGGAGGCTGAGACAGGAGGATTGAAAGTTTGAGGTCAGCCTCAGCAATTTAGCAAGACCCTAAGCAACATAGTGTCTCAATGTAAAAAATGAAATGGGCTAGTAAACTATAAAGAGATGCAATCTCACACCTATCAGACTATCAAAAGTTAAAAATAAAAATCTGACAATCCCTAATGATTGGAGAAGGAAAAAACAAATTCATACTATACAGTAGGCAGAAGGAAGAAGCTATAGTTATCATACTGGTGAATTAAAAAAAACCATAAGGGGAAAAAAACTGTATTTATGTTATATACTATGGTGCCACTTATTGAAACCCAGAGAGCTGTACTTCTGTATTTCATTGAGAAGGATAACTATGCATTAAAATGATAAAGGAATGAATAAGAATGACAAATGCCAAAATTAGGATTGGGATGGATACCTTTGAGGAAGGAAAGTACATGGGAGCTTAAACTGTATTGGTAATGTTTTAATTTTTAGCTGAGTAATAGTCATATGGGGGAGGATCCTTATTTCTGGCACAGTTTCAAGTATTAAACAGCTCATGCCAGGGGTGGTGGTGCACACTTGTAATCTTAGCAACTCTGGAGGATGAAGCAGGAGGATTCAGAGTTTGAGGTTAGCCTCAGCAACTTAGCAAGACTGTCTCAAAATAAAAAATAAAAAGGGCCGAGATGTGACCTAGTGGTTAAGTGCCCCTGGGTTCAATCCCCAGTACCAAAAACAAAAATGGCAACCCATTAATGCCTATTTTTTTTTCAGCTTAAAAAATTAAAAGGCACTGATTCTGGTAGGCACTCCATGTTTTTAAACACCAAACTGCAGATAAGAAAGAAATGCAGGGGCTGGGGATATGGCTCAGTTGGTAGAGCACTTGCCTTGCATGGACAGGCCCTGGGTTCAATCCCCAGCTCCAAAAGATGGGGGCGGGGGAGAGAGAGAGATGCAGGAAGTTCCTGACTTGGGAATTTTATAGTCCAAATTCCTATCCATAAGCTTGTGACTTGCCTTCTGCAAAGACTTAAAATATCCAGGAATGTGGGTATTTGCCAGTGTGGTCAATTAGGCATAGTAGCACAATTTGGTTTAGAAGAATTTTAGGAAAATGTTATACTTGAGTAAAAAACTCAACATACTGGTTTTAAAAATGAATTCTTCAGTTGTACTAATTTCAAAGACAAGGTCATTTGATAAAGGAATTGCTTTTAAAGTAATCCCAGAGACCACATCTTATATCACAGAGGAGCAACAACAGAAAGAGGATCTGGAAGAGAAAATCCCTAAGATCCCAAGAATAGATTTTTGCAAAAACTTTCCTCGTCTTCATATGATGATTACAAAAATCACCAATTTTAATACCTTCAGAGCCCAGAATGTGATGTTAGAAGATAGGGAAAATCTTCTTTGACTGAATGTGAAACTCAGTTTCAACATGGAAATAAAGTCAAGCAAACACCTCAGGAGCTCTGAGAACAGCTAAATGATTATCCCAACCACTGTTAGACTTCAGTACCTTCGTCAGCTCTCTTTCTCTGTGGAGGTCCTCATGAAGTTCTGGAAGAGGATCTTTACTTTGTGCTTTTAAAACTTGCAGCCTGCTTTTCAGTTCCTTGATTTTCTTTTCACACTGGTCCCAGGTCTGTTTAAAAACAGTATTTAAATTGGATAAGTACTTGGTTCTTAAGAAACAATTGTACAAATAAAATAGCTCATTTAATCCACATAGTCTTTCTGTGTGTGTGTGTGTGTGTGTGTATGTGTTGGTACCAGGGATTGAACCCAGAGGTCTTTAACCACTGAGCCACATCCCCAGCCCTTTTAAAAATTTTATTTAGAGACAGGGTCTTGCTGATTTGCTTAGGGCCTCGATAGGTGGCTGAGGCTGGCTTTGAACTCGCAATCCTCCTGGCTCAGCCTCCCAAGCCGCTGGGATTGTAGGTATGCACCCTCATGCCCAGTTCTTGTGTGTTTTTATAAATCACATTGCAGCCTGGTTCCCTGTCTTGAGTAGACTGATTTAAAGGAGCAGAGGGGACATCAATATGACTTGACATGGCCTTTGCAGTTTTACCAGTGGCTCGTTTGGATTGAAATCTCTCTTCCTCTCTGCTTGTCTTTGTCATCTATCCAACCTTCCTTTTGAGTTTTGGAGAAGTCTAGATCTAAAAAGCTACTGTAAGATGAACTTTTAGCATTCAGTCTTAGGCATATGCTGTTGATGGCACCATCAAGCAAAAAAAAAAAAAAATACTCAGCCCCTTCCTGGTCTTCTTTTCTAATGTCACCCCTCTGCTGGCTCTCTGCTTCTTCCAATGCCTGGTTGTAGCAACCCCTTTACATTCAACTTCCCTTGTCTGTTCTCATTACTGCCCTGACTGCCACTTTCTCTATAGTGCTTTGCAGTTTTACAAAGCTTTTCAAACTTCAGCAACTCATGGGAGTTATGACCTAGGGACACAGGGTAAATATTAACACACTTAAAATGAGACTCAGAGAATACTGACTGACCCCACGGAGAGGGGGTTAAAAGCCTAGCCTAGTACTGACCATCTCTTTTCCTTAGATCTCACATTACTGAGCAAATAGAAACCTGCATTTTCAAGTTCAGGGTATTTATACTGGGCTCATTAGGTTAAGTTTCTATTTCTTAGGTTAGTAAAAGTAGACAAACATACAATGAAACACCATTCCGTTTCTCAGTACAACTGCTACCTAAACATACTCAGGGTGACCCAAATCTAGGGAACCCTACCACTTAAGGGGAGGCCATTTGTCTAGCAGCATCTACTTCCTGGTACTCAACTAGGAAGAAAGCAAAGAGAGAAGCAGAACTGTGAGTCCCAGCTGCTCCCACCAAACCTTTATTTTCCCTTGCCATCATGCTTTACAAATAAAGCAGATGGTCAACCAGAGATTGCGAGCTCATGAATTTCACATAAAATCTACATACCACATAAAATTCAGACACTTCATTCACAGGAGAAATGCTTAGGCCCAAACTCAGCACAGTTATACTTCATTTGAAAAGGTGCCCCTGACAAGCTTGGTTATCTAGTATCAGTGCACACAACTGATTAGAGGAGAGTGGGCCATATGGAGTAGGGAAACTTAAAGATGGGAATAATAATAAAAAAAAAATAGCTTCCTATTCAGAAAAGAGAAAGAAAAATCATAAAAATTATATCAGAACTTAAAGAGCATCTAAGTTTTGGGTCATAGGTTCAAATCAGCTCAAGTCTTTGAGAATACCATGGAATTTTGGCAAAACAACAATTTTCCTACTAAAGATTCAAAATAAAATATTTTGGAACAGGAAGTGGTGGCATATGCCTATAATTGCAGTTATTTGAGAGGCTGAGGCAGGATGAACACAAATTGGGGTCAGCTTGGACAACTTAGAGAAAAGGGTTGGTGGGGAACATTTCAATTCTTCTTCTTCTTCTTCTTCTTCTTCTTTTTTTTTTTTGTACCAGGGAATGAACCCAGAGGCACTTAACAATTGAATCACATCCCAGCCCCTTTTATATTTTATTTAGTGACAGAGTCTAGCTA